CCTGTCAAGTTTCACTGATATCTGCTGTAGAATTTCTGAGAAAATGTTGGAGACGGAAAAAGGAATATGGAAAACGGAAAATGGACATTTGACATAACCTGAATTATAAGTCCCCTTTTCAGGCTGCGCCTGAACGGGGACTAAAAATGGCACACTTTATTTGAATACGCAAACAAATGCCACAGCACATAGGCGGGCAAGTTATCAGAGATTAATTTGTGATAAAAATGGCACACTTTATTTGAATACGTAAACATATGTAACCAAGTCAGCAGTGGGATCAGCAGATGTTATCAGAACAGCAAATTTTGATCTTCAAATGCCAGATTTTGAAGACAAAATACGGAGAACGAGGTTCGGATTGATGACTATACAACATGCAAAACATCTTTGCAAAAAATGATGCTGAAATTCTAATAAATATTGTCATGCACAGTACTGCTGTGTGTGCTAAGCAGTTGTAAACACTGTAATGGTTTATACTCAGACGCCTTGACATAATTTGAAAGTATATTCTGAGAAATCAAGGTGACAAAATAATTATCACAATTAAGACAAATCTATCAATACCTCTCAGTTAGTTTTATTTGTTAATGTTAGCAATTATGGTTAATACTGGTCATCATCATACATAAATCAAGAGGAGGAAACAGCAATGAGGTCCATGGCAGTTATGACGATGATATTTAATAGTCTTAACATTCCATTGGCAGCCCACAAAACTCTGGGACCATCCCAGGAGCTTGAATATTTGGGAGTTATGATTAACTCCAAGGACTTGTTAGCTTTCTTGCCCGCAAATAAAATAAGCAGGATAAAGGAGAAGATATCAGAGTTTACTTCAAAGAAATCAATCACTAAACGACAGTTGCTCTCCTTGCTTGGTCATCTAAATTTTGATGCAAGAGTCATGTTACCAGGCAGGTCCTTCATTGCCCACTTACTTAGACTGGCTTCATCAGTGTCCAAATTAACTCATCATGTCTCCTTGAACCAGGCTTGCCGTTTAGAATTATCCATGTGGAAGTTATTTATGAATTCATGGAATGGGATTCATCTGTTTTTGAATTCGGGAGTGATCAGTGCATCTGACTTGCACATTTATACAGATACATCATCTACCAAAGGTTTCGGATGCTTCTTTCAAGGTGACAAATGGCCTGAGGAATTAATTTTTCAACAACGTGATGAACTATCTATGGCTCTGCTGGAGTTGTATCCAATTGTGATAGCGGCAATGCTATGGGGACAGCATTGGTCAAAGCAGAGGATTTGTTTCAATTGTGACAATCAGGCAACAGTAAACATAATTAGGAAAGGCAGGGCAGCTTCACACTGCCATGCAATTAACACTCTTATGCGACGATTAACACTGACTGCCATGCAACATAACTTCACTATACTGGCTCAATTCCTCCCAGGGAAACAAAATTCAATTGCCGATGCCTTATCCAGTTTCCAATTACAGAAATTCCGAGAGCTGGCACCAGATGCACAAGAGAACAAATCACCTTGTCCACCATACTGCGAAGTAACTCAGATTTAGTGCAAGATACAAATCACCTGTGGACTTCTACTATATCACCAAAAACAAGGCAGTCTTATGACTCTAGTTTAGCTGTTTTTCTTCGCTTTGCTAATATGCACAATGTTCAGTGTTCAAATTTGAACTTACCTGCAATTTCTGAGGACTTAATTTTGCTTTTTATAACTCACTGTCATAAACATTTACATCTCAGCGAATCAACCATTAGACTTTACCTTGCTGGGGTACGTTTTAGATACATAAAGGCTGGGGTTTCCAACCCCTGGCAGTGTCATGCAGGAGAACCAATGGTACGTGTTAATTTATTGTTAGGAGCTATTAAACGAAGTCAAAGCCAGGGATCTAGGTTAAGGCTCCCATTTACATCAGAGATTATATTCCGTATGTTTTCCACTTTGAAAGCTGGAGTGTTTACCCATTTTACAGACATCCTTATGCAATCATTGATTCTTAATGTTTTTTTTTGGTTTCCTTCGTTGTGGTGAATTTACCATTAATTCTACCTTTAATCCGGAAATTCATTTAAGCCTCAAGGATGTCACTTTTGATGGTAACACGAAAGCTTTCCTTCGCTTGAAATCTTCCAAGACAGATCCCTTCCGGAAGGGAGTTATCGTTAAATATTTCAAGAACAGTCGCATGTGCCCAGGTGACACTTTGCATTACTATCTGTCTTTGAGAGTAGCCATGAAACCTACACCTTCATTTTCTGACCCCTTATTTCGACTCGGAAAATAATTTACCTCTTACTCGTGTAGTTTTCCTGCAATACCTGCGTAGACTGTTGTGTTCCCTCAGCTTAGACTCATCTAAGTATTCAGGTCATTCATTTCGGATTGGGGCAGCTACTTCGGCGGCAAGAGCCGTTATACATGACCACATGATAAAAACTCTTGGTCGGTGGTCCTCTGATACTTATAACCGTTATATTCATTCATCTGGTGGTACTCTTTGCGCAGCACATGAAATATTGGGTGGTAGCTACTAACTTCTATAACAAATAACACAACCAGTAGGAACAGCTTCCGTGGTATCCTACCCCTCAATTCGTACTAATGACTAACCTATTAATCTGCAGCTACTGCTGCACTAACAAATTTATCTTTTATTTTTGTTTGTATTATTATAGTCTTTATTACAGAGTTTCACTTTACAGTGTTTTGTTACATTTGAATTTTCATTTACTCAGCCAGCAACAATTTGGTGTTGCTCAGTTTTATCATTTACAAGGTTACTTTTCCTACTAGTAGCTAGTGAAAGCTACTACTTTCACGTTTGGGAGCCCGCTGGGAAATTTTATCTAAGCTATGTATTTAAAAAAACAAAACAAGCCATGCATGACACAGTCCCCGTTAATTATCAAATTTAGGATATATAGTTTTGCTTATAGTAATATAGCTGGAACATAAACCTGTCAGGAATATGATTATGATAACTTTTTAACATTAATTATATAGAGATATTGCTCTGAAACAGCATTAATTAAAACAAAATCAGCTATTTTGAATACATGTATAATGAATATATAAAATTTGAACATAATCAGTCAAAGCATGTCAGAAATATGGCACTAGAGCTACATTTATTAATACAAAATAGCCACCAGTCGGCCATTTTAAAAATAAAATGACGTGCATCAGGAACCCATAATGTTTAATGTATGTACCAAGTTTGAACAAAATCCATCCATAAATGCCAGAAATGCTTGATATTTGATGATTTTTTAGCACAAAAATGGCCACCATTCGGCCATTTTGAATAGAATCGTCAAACCAATATATCTGCATATCTATGAAATAATTTATAATGAATATTTAAAATTTGAACATAAACTGTCTAAGCAAGTCAGAGATATGGCACTAGAACCACATTCATTAAAACAAAATGGCTGCCAGTCAGCCATTTTGGATCTTACATATTACATATATCTGAAAAACAAAATGATGTGCATCAAGGTCCTATAAGGCCAGACTTTTATTATCCCTTGTTTCGCGAATCCGCCGAATGAACAGGAGTCGAAAATGAAATAAAAATAAAATTTTATTTCAGCATAATTTCTCGCGCCCGCAAAAAGTGCAAAAAAATGCTAAAAAAACTTATTCTTATCTTCATTTTTTTTTCGCCCACCGCATAACAAACCCAAGTTGCATTTTTGTGGGAGTATCATGATCAAAGTACCGAAGTCTTGTGCAGATGAGAAACAAGGTTATACATGGAATAAAATTTTATTTCATTTCTTCTCCCCGATCAATGATCACACTTACAATTCTTTGGAAAAAAAGAATTAATTTTATTTTTTTCCGCCCTCCTCAAAAAAATTGCTTTATAAAAACTCTAGAAACAAGGAATAAAAAAAGTCTGGCCTAATTTCCAACGTATATACAAGGTTTGAACAAAATCCATCTGCAAACAACCTAAAAATGCTTGATTTTGATGATTTTTAGCACAAAAATGGCCACCATTTGGCCATTTTCAATAGGATCATCAAACCAATATATCTGTATATCTATGACATGATCTATAATGAATATTTAAAATTTGAACATAATCAGTCAAAGCAAGTCAGAGATATGGCACTAGAACTTATATACCAATTTTGAACAAAATCCATCTGTAAACAGCTGAGAAATGCTTGATTTTGATGATTTTTAGCACAAAAATGAACGCCATTCGACCATCTTGAATTAGATCGTGAAACAAATTGACGTGCATATGTATAATATCATGTATGATGTATGTGTGAAGTTTGATTGTGATTGGTCCAGGCATTTCTAAGATACAAGTCTGGACGCATACACGCACGCATGCACGGACACACAGAGGTCAAAACATAAGTCCCCGTTTGGACTAATAAAGATATATTTTATAATAGATGGCACAGCATGGTACAGCGTATTTAATCAATATACATTAGATGTCAATTGATTATTGTATTAATTATCCCATTTTATTAGAGACATCTGACAGGTGTATATTTATCTAATTGAGGGTCAAACAGTTGTGTTCACTTGATATATTTATTACATACACCTTTTTTGATAAAAATCAATGAAATACCCTTGTACAGGGTCCATCATTAACAACACTGTGAAGATAGTAGAAAGACTATTTTTTTTTTCATTTTATGTAAATACACTGTTTTCCATGCAGAATCTTTTTTATTAGCTCCGCTGTCGACTTTGTCGAGCGGAGCTTATCATATGAGTGATTGTCCGTCGTCGTCCGTCATCGTCGTCCGTCGTCGTCCGTCGTCCGTGTCAATGTTTTACTTTTTCGACTTCTTCTTGAAAACTACAAGCCTAAATACTTTGATACTTGGTGTATATGTACCTTGGGTAGACCTCTCTTAGGTTTGTTCATTTCATGTTGATATCTTTAATTCTCTAATTTTGGTGAATATTTTTGTCATTTTTGGTAAAAACTGATATTTTCGACTTCTTGTTAAAAACCGCAAGTGCAATTGCTTTGATATTACATCTATAGGTACTACATGTGGACCTCTCTCAGATTTGTTAATTTTGTAATGATATCTTTAATTCTTTAATTTTGGTGAATATTTTTGTCATTTTTGGTAAAAACTGATATTTTCGACTTCTTGTTAAAAACCGCAAGTCCAATTGCTTTGATACTACATATATAGGTACTACATGTGGACCTCTCTCAGATTTGTTCATTTCGTGATGATATCTTCAATTCTCTAATTTTGGTGAATATTTTTGTCATTTTTGGTAAAAACTGATATTTTCGACTTCTTGTTAAAAACCGCAAGTGCAATTGCTTTGATATTACATATATAGGTACTACATGTGGACCTCTCCCAGATTTGTTCATTTTGTAATGATATCTTTAATTCTCTAATTTTGGTGAATATTTTTGTCATTTTTGGTAAAAACTGATATTTTCGACTTCTTGTTAAA